ATATCGAAGATCTATGACCACAGCCCCGTCGACGCCGCCATTGCTATGCGACGCATACGAGTGACCACCCGAGCGAGCCTGGATCGGCTTTTCAAACCCGCCGGCAACGCGGACAGCTCGAGCAACCTGTTCAGAAGTGTAAGGGAGGATAACGATCGCCGGCTCAGCGGGGACACGCCTGTTGTAAGTCAATGAGTAAGCATCCCAGTCCGAGTCCAGCGGCGTCTTGACCTTCAAACCCTCAACCTCGAGCAATTCCGAATACTGGGTACCCATTTTACAGTCGGAGCGCTTGTGCCAGGTACAGGAAATAATAAAATAAAATATTGCGTTCGGATCAAACAAGTGGGAGAAGTTGCGGAGACGCGACGATTGGTTCTTTTCTTATAAAAGAAAATAAGAAGTGGCGGGCGTGGTCTGAGCAAGACTTTCCTTCGCTAACGTGAAACCTCCAAGCTAAGGAGAAAAAGTCGGGACGATTTTATAGGCGTTTATTAACCATTTTTACAGGAACACCATCGCTAACAATTTGAAAGCTCCAAGGGGTACAAGCTACCTACTCTACCACAAGGTCAATCACGACTCACGACATTCATTCACGCGACGACACCCAGCTGTCCCTAGGGACCGGCCCGAAACCGGCAGCTGCAATCAATGGCTGCTTTCCCACGACAGTCACGATCGTTTATCAACAGGAGAGATAAGCTTTAGAACAGAAAAGGCGGACGGGGCCGAGTGAGTGATTCACACTCGGTACATACCACGGTACCCTTTAAGCAACGCTCTTCACGAGTAGGTCAGGTGCCGAGGCAAACAATCATGCTATATCTGCTGCCCGTACCATACCTCCTTAGTAACCAGCTCTCCGACTCCATTTAGTGAAGACCACAGCTAAAGCCCCAACATGCCTCGTTCATTTATTCATGCCGCGCGCCGTTCCCATTCACAAGAGTACCTGTACCCTATAAACCCATCCTATCGTGATTCCTCCAAGTCACAAGAACATCACCAACACAAAACCCCTCCCAAAGCCCCATCAACCCTAGCCCCCCGAGCCCTGTGCACGATTACACCGCAGCCGCGCCCGAACCTCCATCAGCACCTGACCAAGCCTATTCTCGCCCCAGAACCTTCGATGCGACAAGGCACGTTTCGCCGTGTACCCAATGCCCCAGACGCGGTCCCCCGACGCGGCCTCGACAAGCAGCCGGTCGCCAGTACCAAGCAGCTTCAGGCCCAGCTTCGGGTTCTGTCCAAATCTCGCCACGTTCCCCGCCACGACGACAGCGCTCTTCACCTCGTCCCAGCGAGCGCATCCGTAAAGCCAGCCGTCAACTTCCCCAGGCACTTCTGCTCCATAGGGCTATCAGCAGCCAGGACGCGCCTCTGCGTATCGCGGTCGCGGAAGCGCGCGGCCTTGCGGTACATCATGAACTGCTCGGCGCAAGTGAACGTGATCGCGCCGGAGTCATCGTAGCAGTCACCGTCGTCGTCGCTCAACCAGGATCCAACAAGCGCCGCGATCTCCGACCTGCTGACGACGAAGGTGCTACGGTACCACTGGTAGAACTCGCCCCACGGCCCGTCGGGCATGAAGAAAAACAGCGGCTCGTCATCGGGAGCGTCCCGGGCTTTGGTTGGCTGCGGCATTTGGTCCTGACCGGGGGTCGTTTGTTCGGGATTCTGGACCGATCCGATTTGCTTGGCGTGCTAACCTGATCTTTCTTAGGGGGGAATCCTTCTACATCTACAATTTAATAAGTCACCAATCGACCCCTCTCGATAATAACGTCCAATTAGTCGCCTGCAGACGTGCTACATAGCGAGCCTCAGAATCTTTTATAGCGGCCATGAACTGGAGACAACTTGAAAGCATGCATCTACGAACATTTTCCATGTACAGAAGACAGTCACGCCGTGGAACGTATGCTGCAATCTACCCAGCCAGTAACATGTTCCAGTTCACAGGAGTAGATAGCATGTTATGCCAATCACCCAACCCAACCACGTTACGAGCATTGGAAGTGAAGCACGGGAATCAGAGCCCAGAATCTATAGCTTACTAAGCACGTCAGCTAGATCGGGTACGGGTAGGTAAGGTACCAGGTTCTGGACTACACCGGGCCGAAAATTCGCCCTGACGCGATCACCACCACCATCTTCGCGACATTCGCGAAGACAAGTCATCACGCGTTTAATACCCTTATCTATCGATCAACAAGTCGGCCCATTCCTCCTACCACGTCCTTCGTTTTAGGTATAACATTCAACCAATGAATGACCCCGTCCTTCGTCCAACACATCCGTCACACATCAACTGCGGAGGATCTATAGACCGTAATCCCCAATACCAATACATTCAATAAGTTAGTCAGGCAACAGACTAGAGTAATGTCTATGCATCTAATAATATAGCAAGTAACCCCAGGAAAAGGTTCCAGCACCAGCACCCTCATTAATTACCCCAGGTCTTTGACGAACGCCAGCCTATCCCGAGCCGGATCCATGACCCTCGCGTATTCTAAAAGCAGTCGCCAGACGTAGAGCCTCATGTCCTCCCTCCGCATGACCTTCTCCGCCCACATCCTGCCGTCCTCGGCGATCTTCCGCGCCTCGGCATCGTGGCCCCCGAGGTAGTACGCCAGGATCGCATAGATGTCGCCGAAGGTATTGTCGAACGGGATGAAGTGGACCCAGGGGACCAGCCGGTCGTCGTGCCACTCCGCGTAAATCGTCGACTTGAGCACGACGCTGGTGCTCCTCATAAAGGCCCGAAACCGCCCACTGTAAGAATTCCCGTCGATGTCCGGGAGGTACTTGTATTCGTACTGGTCCCTCATGTGGATCGGCTCTCGCAGCTCCATGTACGGTTCCAGGTACCAGCAGGTGCTGTCCAGCTGCTGGGGGAAGCACTCGAATCTCACGAAAGCGACGTCGCTGAACGAGGAAAGCCATTGCCCCAGGCTGCCATCTCTTCGCGTCCTCCGTTGGCGTCCACTCAGCGCGGACAGGTTGAAGCTAGGAGCGACATCGTAGCCCGCTTCCAGGAGTGAAACCGTGGTGCCGTTCATCATCTGGATGAAGCGGTGGCGGTGGTATGCCCACCAAGTGTCCTCCTTGTGCCGCCCGCCACTGGCCACGCCGCGCCAGATCAGCCCGTCTTTCTTTGTCACCCACTTCTCGCCGTGGGTCTCCCCTCCACTGAACAGGTCATCGTTATCGAGAATCATGCCAGCGGGTATGAGGATCTCGTTGTTGCCAGGCAGCTTGCATCCGCCAAATATTGGGAAGAGGGAATGCGTTGTTGCCATGCTGACGCTTTCGATGAAGGTCCCGTGCATGCCGCGGAGATGGGGCTGCAAGCAAGGATCCGTCGACGCCGTGAAGTTCCGAATGAAACCATCCACGGCGAATGGCATAGCCTCTGTTGGGTATTTCGGCGGGCGGTCGAGGCTCCGTAAGCTAGATACGTTGCGACCCGGTGTATCTGGTGGGCAGGTAACCCGGTAATGGTCCCAATATATGTGCTGCTCACCACTAACCCACTCAACTTTGATTGAAGGCTCGTCATCGGCGGCGCTCTCATTTTGGTACTTGGTATAGCTAGTGACGGCCTCTGAAGGGTTGAGGAAACCGCGCCGACTCTGCTCTATGGCCGTGTATTTCGCTATATCCTCCCAGGGGACCAAAACCCTCGTCTCGTCCATCACGTTGAGGACCATGTCAAGATCCGGTAGATTTGGCATGATCTCCTGCACCAGCTCGGTCCATCGCTGAACCCAGGGCTGACGGAGTTCGAGGTGATCCGACACGAACCAGGCTTCTCCATCCCGCACGCGTATGAAATGCTGCTCGTCTTTTACCATTCGCCGCAGGAGCGCGGGATCGAGAGCCCAAAATGGACCAATGTCATGGTAGATGCGATCAAAAAAGTCCTCAACAACAATGGATCCGTTCCTCTGCGCGGCAGCAAACCAAGCGTCGAAACCAGGCGGCGGGTGTCGGCCTCGACGTTCGCGATACCGGCTCGCGGCCTGCGCCAGGGAGTTGGAGCGCTTCGCAAGCAGCTGCTTGAATCGGACCTGCGCCTCCCGTTCTAGCTTGTAGATCGTATGATTAGTCGCAGGGCGGAGAAAATGAACCAGCGAGGCATTGATGCGAGAGACGTCCTCGAGAGTCACAGTCAGGTACAGGACCAGAGCAACCAGACCGGCGGAGACGAGATATTTCAGCCTGTGCTGGATGGCGGCATGGGACAAAACGCGGGTAAAGGTGAAGAGGCGCCTGACCAACATGTTGTGGCCAGCACTGTCGTTTCTTCAGAGGAAGCCGGATTGAATCATGACAACGGAGAGACTGGCGTCATTGAAGGGAGGGGTAGGTGTTGTGGTAAGGGAGGTAGATAAAGAGACAGCGAGAAGAATCGCTCTGAGACAGTCGGCAGGCGGGCTTGCGGTTATGGGCGTTCCCGTTATGTGTATGAGTGCATCAATTCCATCCCGACGAGGTACATGAATTCCTCTCTATTCCATAAAGCACCCTTCATGTGCTTTCATTATTGCATTATGTACTTCGTATGTAGATAACGCCTACCAGAAAACCAAAACGCGGATTTAATCGGTTCAGGTGACAGAACGACGACGTAATTTCGAACTCTACCTGACTCGATCCGCCGGCCGCCACCACAAGCAGCACCACCGAACCCGAACCCAACCAACCAGCCGTCGGAGGCCATGACGCCCAACGCCAGGCCATCTGCAGATCGTCGGGTAGCCATAGGGGCCAGTTACAATAGACGGGAAATCCATTTCCTTTGAGAAGCTCCATGACAGACAAGAAATCGATCCCGGCTCGGAAGCGTCTGTCCTGGCCAAGTCGTCATTTTTGACCAGCGGGCTTTTTTTTCTTTTTCCTTGTCCTACCACATTCCTTCATTCTCCTCGCCTCCCTGTTCTCGCCGCGTTAGTAACACGACATTATATCTGCGCATTCCAACAACAGCCAGGTGGCAGAGTGGTGTAATGCGATAGATTAGAAATCTATCTCCCTCCAGGGCGCTTGTTCGAATCAGCCCGTAGACCATAAATCTACCCCCTTGGGGAACGTCTGGCTGAACCAGGTGTGGACCGGAAATCTACCCCCTTCAAAGCTCAGGAACGTCTGCGCAAACCAGGCGTTATGCGATAGATTGGAAATCTATCCCCTTTACGAGCATCTGTTTGAATCAGGCCGACGGACAAGAAATCCATTCCCTTCAGCAGCGCCTGCTTGAACCAGGCACTCGATAGAATAGAAATCTATCTGCTTCGAGAATGTCTGTTTAAATCAGTCTCTGCATAGACAAAAAATCTGTTACCCAACGAGAATAGATTGCAAATCTATCTTCAGGTGTTTGTTTAAACCAGACCCCGGTCGAGCTTCATTTTTACCAGGCGGCAGTTATTCCTTTTGTCCATTCTTCGCTTTTCCTCATTTGTCCCTTTTATACAGTTACCTACCTACCCATCGGCCAGTGAAGTAGTAGCCAACACTGCGTTGTGCCATGTTCAACGCAATGGTTCTGGCACGATAGATGAGAACATCAAAAGACTCAACATCAGTAAAAAGACATCAGCTGAAAAATAGTTTGGGTCGGATTGGCAGCTCTCTGTCTCCTGGGAGACATACGGCGTAAAACGCTACGTACTCCTACGGATCTATATACATTGTACAAGCACGAAGAATACTTCTCCCGCATCTGGATAATTCGTGGATGAATTAACAGCAGTAACTCCCCCAGCAGCCAGGGCTAGATTACCATACTACCGTATCACCCAATCCGACGAGGGCTTGCCATCAGTGCAAACGCATCCAAGATCATGTGAGAATGCCCTGAGCGTTTTGGCGTTGGCAAGAGCGCAAAAGATTCTCGATTGGACAAATCCGCGCGCCACGGTGGAGAAGAAAAGAAAAACTCAGGTCACTAAACCCTCCCCATAAGCAAAAGCCAAAAGGGGGGCGGGGAAGAAAAAGAAAAAGAGGAGGGAGTTACAAAAGTAATCGATTAAACACCATGGACGCAATACACCTCGAGTCTCGTTCACTAGTCCGATACAAACATGATTCAGAATAAAAGTTGTACGGGCTAACCTAAGTCCGAGCAGAAAATTGTCTGAAAAAATACGGAATAATCTATATCCAATTCACCGACTGCTGAGAAACAACACTCGCATTCTTCTTAGTCTCGTCCTCCAGATCCCGCCAGGCCTCGCGACTGCGCATTCGAGCAAGCGGTAGCAAGCGGAGATTACTCAGCGACGGCCGGAAGAAGCGGTTATAAGCGATGAAATGGTCCCTGTCTCCCTGAAAGGCGTTGGGAGGCGTCGGCGCGTACATACTCCTTCTCTGGATTTGCACCGCGTCGTCCGTGATGGTCTCCACGCCGCAGTATTTGTAGATGGTGCTGAGGACGGGGATCGAGAGGCCGTGGACGATGATGGAGGCCAGGACGAGAAAATAGACAACTATGGAAGCGTGTAAGTGGGCATAACATGCGCTGACAAGCTCGTGTTCACATACCTGGACAAAGAGCCTCCACCAATGCCTTTTCGCGCGGGTTGTCTTTATTGAACAGCAGCCGCGTATGCTCAAGGTATACCACCGCGCCAGCGCCAATCGGGCCAAAGTGACCCATGAAGACAGCCTCCTTCCAGTTCTTGACGACCGACGGCATGATCTTGTAGGTGACCAACAGAGCAGGGATGCGGCGGAACAGCAGAACGAGGACGCTGAGGCCGAAGAGGCGCGGCAGGGTGATCCCAGTCGTGTCCGGTTGGTGAAACTGCTCCCACGGCAGAGCGGTCCCGATGTACATGAAGCCCCCGAAGTTTAACAACACGTCGATGCACGAATTAACTTCGTCGTGTCTCCGCTCGGTCTCGGCGAGGAACTGTCCGTCCCAGTTCAGGGCGCACCCAGCAGCGAAGCAAGCAATCGGGTCGCTCGTTCCTACGGCGCCGCCGGTCCCGACGATGAAAAGCTAGAATAAATCAGCTGGATTCGCTCATATGGGGAGATATGGGTGTTGATATGAAGGCAAACGCTTACACCTAATGCGGTCGGGAAAAGGAGATAGCTCTCAGTATCGATCCATTTCCGCGACAACGAAAAGCGGACAGCTACTCTAGCACAGAAGCCCGCCACCGCGCCGTATACCGCAGCCATCAAAACAATGTACACAAGCGTCTCGATCGCCCAATTCCCAAGCGCAATGCCGATGTCGTCGGGATGGGGGCCAACACCTCGATCCCGCTCAACTATATTCTCGGGGCGCCCAATGGAGAGACGCATGAGGTTGACCGACAGCATGAGGAACGGAGACGCGAAGCCGTCATTCGCTCCCGCTTCAGCGGAAATGATTTCTCGCAGGGGCCGGGCGACGTACTTGTCCGCGAATGGCCCCTTGGCAACTGCCTGTGACAAGATCGGGTCCGTGGACGTGACACAGGCACCGATGACGAGGGTAGATTGAAGCGACAGATTTGGGATCGTCGCGAGGATACACATGGCCGCAGACAACCACATCAGCGTCATGATAGGGACCAGACAGACGGTGATCTCCCTATGGTGACATTGTATATATTTCGCAGGCAATTGGTATCCTGCAATCACCCTGTTGGCTGCATGTTAGCTACGAAGGTCCCGAGAGGAAAAGGGGCAACTGAGCAAAGAGAAACCCAAGAGGCCTCATGGAGGAGCAGAGAGAGAAAAGGAGTTAAACCCACAGCTGAATCCCAATCACCACTCTCAATATCCCCAAGGTCATAGCCTCCCCTTGATCCGGCCACGCCGCGCCCCATCTCTTAGGATCCAGGAATCCCGCCGCCGCGGGACCCAAGGCGATGCCAATAATCAGAGCAGGTACTAAACCACCACTCAGCAAACCCAACACAAAAGAAAAGGGGTTGAGGATTTGCCCAAAGACAGTAACTCACAGGCCTCGCCCAGATGCCATATACTCCGAATACGGACGGCAAACAGGCCATATATCACAATGAACGAACCTGTACGCAGCGTCAGGCCAGGCTATCCGCGCACGCAAAAGCCGACTTACCAAGGACGGACAACACGATATTAAGTTCACTTACGTCGAGCGTAGGCATCGTAGGCAATGACTTTTTCTCGAGATAATAACAAGAGAGAGAGAGAGAAATCGAAATATCCAAAACGAGCGAACGGGGAAAAAAGGGTTTTGAATTTTCCTCAAGAGAAAAAAAAAAAACAAACCCTTTCCCCCAAGAGCAATGCATGACGAAAAGAGAGAATCAAAAGAGACCTGGACATGCCAAGAGCGGCCCGAATATATATGAACGAGTGTACACGTCGAAACAGGCGCCACGAAGGAACAATCGTATCGGATTTTTTTTGGGAGAGGGGAGATGGGGAGGGAGGTTAGTTTCGAAGGGATGGGGTTGAGACAGGGTAATCTCCCTTTTGGCGTCGATATGCCATCATGCATTCCGCAGGGCTGGGGAATCGATAAACAAATGTCTTTTCCATTCCCGTGCTGGGCTTGGGCTGCGTCTTAACGTTGTGTTTTGAAGGTCCTGGTCCTGCTATAGCTCCTAGATAATATTTAAGCGCGTGATGGAGATGGCTTGAGAGCGTACATCGTTCACGATGGGTTTCGCTGAACAGATCCGTATTACAGAAGATGAAGGAAATAAGAGCGCGAAGTGAAATCTATGGAAGATGGGTGCTCTCCAGCTAGAATGACACTATAGCATACATGTTCTATACAGAAAACCCATAGAGCGGTGCCCCAACACACAATGACAGCCACAACAAAAGGTAGTGCCGTGCCAGCGTGAGACCTGACGCAGTTCCTGGCAGGTTGTGCAAAAGCCACTGCCACCACTCCAAAGGGATAGGTATATGGTCATAGACACATTGAAGGAGAAGCGCGCGATCCAGGATGTCACCTCCTCCAGTATTAGTTCCGGTATCGAAGGACGTGGGAGAAAAAGCACCTAAACTTACGCGGTGGCAATGTCTCCAGGGAGCCAAAGTAGCAGGGAGAGCTTGGAAAACGCACATCAATCCCATTCCAATCCCAGTGACTTCCAACGCGCCCTATTACGGCCGGGTAGTTAATCCAACCGCGCTGAGCAGACAAGCAATTCGGCGAATATAATCGTCGCCCTCAACGCCACGATAAAGTCGGTCAAGGACGACTCCTAGGATGGAACACATTATCCCCAATCGACTGCGTACTGGACGATTCATACGACAGCATCTCCCACGTGGCCTGCCCTGCCCAGATTGCCGGCGCGCATGATGCAGCCAAGCAAAATGCAAAAGCGATCTCATTTCTCCACACCCTCCCACCCAAAATAGCGCACAAACCAGATTTCACCAAACCAAGATCCGCCAACGGACCGACATCACTACAAATCCATAGATGAAACCCCCAGCAATATCCATAACCGTAATTACACGAGGGCCTCTTCTCAAAGATAAGTAGGTCCGGCGACGGAACCCGGCAAGCAAATCGGTCCCGCACCCGACTATCTAGCGCAAGCATCAGTGGTTTAGTGGTAAAATCCATCGTTGCCATCGATGGGCCCCGTGTTCGATTCACGGCTGATGCAAAGATGTTCTTTTTGCTTTTGTTTCTTTTTTTTTCTCGGCGAGATATAGATGGTTTGTTCGTAATATCTCTCCTCAATCTCGGTTGTACATGCCCGCTCCAATACGCCTGGAGGAGCCGTCAGTTGATACGTATTATGCTCGCACCGCCCATTGCGTGATTGGCGTCGTGTGTTATAGAATCTAGATAACAAACCGCTCGAGGCAGAAGCATAAGGAGTCGAATGACGCATAGACGGAAAAGATCCGAGGCATCAAACGGTACGTAAGGATAAGAGGGATAAGAGATCGCGAGCCTCCTTGTTGCGTCATAAGGGTGGAATGAGAACCAATGCCATCGCGAGTAGCACTCCTTGATTCGGAGCAGCACAGCCGGGTTTACCAAGGGGCTGTTGCTGCTTGAAAGGATCGAGTACAGCGGTATTCCTAGATTCACGAATGACAACGTAGATACG